AGTAAAGAAGAGGTCAGATACACTCACACTCTCTCTCTCTCTTTTCTTTTCTTTTCTTTTCTTTGCCCTGCTCTGCCTTCTTTATCAAAGCCACTGAAGGCTTTTCAGGTCTGTGAATCTGTGTGATACTTTCATCAAGCTACACCATGCTACACCACAAACTGCACTCCCCTGCTCAGAGAAGGATGTTTGAATCCATCCCATCATTATGGGTCCAGCCTCCCCTCCAAAACAGGTAATTCAATGCTTCAAACAAAATCATTCCTCCCTAGCCTATTGTGTTCTGCATGTAATTCACTAGTATTTTTACTTTTGCATTGCAGGACTAGACTGATGTCTGAGTTCAAAACCAAACCACATTCAAAGAGATCTCTTTAAAACGAATGGGTGTTGATAGACGAGCAGTTACTCTTGTAAATAATGTGCTTAATATGTACATCACATGCTGCACATGGTACATTATATGTTGGGCTGAACTTTATTATTATATAGAAGGCAGGGCAAGGGGGCACCTTATAGACTAACTCATTCAAAGAGGCCTCAGTTTTTGTAGGCTACAGCCTATTTCATCAGATGTTATGAAGTAGACTGTAGCCTATGAAAGATCATAACTTTCTCAACAAGTTAGTCTATAAGATGCTGTCCTGCCATGCCTTCTTCCTGACTTGAGACTAACATGGCTAACTACCTCTATTATGGTATGTTAGCTCTCTTTTCTAATGTTTATTTCTGATCTATTTTACTGGAGCTGCAATGCTAAAATAATGTACAAAATGGTCAATAGGAAAAGACAATATTACCATAAACACAAGGGAACAGGAAGAGGGCCTGTCAGAGAGAAAATATCATTTCCTTTTATAATTTTTAGCCTCAATTCATTTTGCCAAACCCGTTCTGCTGGTTTGCCAGCATCATCAGTAGCTTCAGTACAAGACTGGGAACTGCTTGCTAGCTAATGACTGCTGTACAGACAGGTGAACAACAAAACATGGTGCTTTTCTAAGACCTTCCGAAACAGCACCTGATGTTTTCCTTTTTGGTTTCTTAGGGTCAGAATCTCTGAAACAGCCCTGTAGTCCTGTTTTGCTCAATGGCATTCTGCAAGATGTAGGCCAGAGGCAAGTATAAGAGCAGTGATACAACAGAGAGAAACAGCAAAATATTTAAGAATCTCCAGGAATCCCATGGTCCAATTACAGCAATTTTTTATGAGGTCAAATTTGAGGCCAATGAAACTTAACACTGTCTTTTGATAACTGGTAATTTGGTAAGTTTCTTTCTACAGGACACTGCTATCTACAGTAGAGACCATTAACACATGCATGTACACACTATAAATCTGGCAGGCAATACAGTCTTCTAGCACAAACATGCTATCTTGAAAAAAAGCCAAAGGCTTCCTACAACAAATGACCAAGCTCTCTTATCCAACCACTTATACGTAAAGATGATGACACTGTTCAAAGCACTATAAATGCCTGTTCTATGCCAGAGGGAGACTCATATATGTACTTCTTAAAAGAATGAAAATGCTGGGACCTTGCTAGTGACAATTTAGTAAAGCATATCCTATATTGTACAGCATATCCTATATACTTAAAACATTGAACATAGTGGTAGCAATCAGCCCACGTAACTGCAGTCTGATACCAAGTAGCCACTATTTGATTTGTTAACCTAAACATACCTTTGTCAGTTACAAAGATGACTCACCACATATTCCCCAATTTACATTTTTCCTATTACATTTCTTGGGCTAAATTCAAAACTCTGTTACACTGGTGCAAGTCTGGGAGATATTCCACCAAAGTCAGTCCGAACAGAAGAAAGTGGTCTACCAGGGAGGTCATGAAGCGAATGGGGAAAGTCCAGACATTAGCTAATGTGAATGAAAGCAAAATGTGGCCTATAGTTTTTACATATCAAAGTATATTTAAATCCAAATAATGTCTTTTAGAAACATGTGCCTCCCATTTTTATTTGTAATTTTTTTTCAGAGGCATGTGCTTTGTCTTTTTTTTCCATATGATCTTTCCTTGCACCTCCTGTGAAACTATTTCCTTTATGGTTTCCTGCTTGGTTTCCTGGTTTGCATCTGGTGACACTTGTGCCCTCATTGAGGGAGAGGAAGGGGGTGGGGGGAGAGAAAGAGAGTGGGGGGGCAGCATGTGTATGCATGTGCGTGGGTGGTTATGTGTGCATGTGTGTGTACATGCATGTGTGTGTGGGTTCAAGTTTGTATGTGGGGGCATGCATATGTGTGCGCACGCATGTGATCAAGAAGCCACGAGGAGGCCCCTTCCACCTGTATGCACCTATGCTCTTACTGGGCGAGATCCTGCGTATATATACTCCATACAAAAAGTGAATCAGTGAATAATGAATAGTTCCCCTAACCCAGCTTCGGGCACCCAGGAAAACTCCCCATCCAGAAAAGAACCCCCCACAAAAGATGCTTGTCTTTCTACCTGCTCACATGAAACAGGGTGGATTTTCTTTTTTCCTTTTCTGCTCCCCAGGGCCAGGCCTTCAGAGCCCAGGAGTGAAATCCTGAAGCCCAGGGAGGGAAGCCAGCTCCCACCCTGCTGAGGACGAAGGCAAACCAGAAGCCAGCAGCTCCCCGGGAGTCTTTCCTGCCCAAGTGCCACGGGGCTTGGCCCCATGGCCTTGTAAGGTCCCTTCCATCCCCTACCAGCTATGAATCCATGACCACTTTCCAAAACCAGAAAGGGGGGGGGAGCAACCACCTCCTACAACCCCACCCTCTTGGATACCACAGCCCGGAGAGGGGGGAGCCCTCCCGCCTGCACCCAGCGGGACTGCAGGAAAATGCCCCCCCTCCACGTGTCAGCAGCCCGCTCCCATCCCTGCAGAGGGATGCAGCCCCCCCCGGCACCGGCTCAGACACGCGCCCTCCCCGCCAGGGCCGGGCTATTGT